AGAGGAGAGGCTGGAATGGAATCTTCCAGAAGGGGCTGACTACCGCTGGCTGCCAAACTCTGAAAGAAATTTAGATGGTAAAATCAATTTCCACAGACTGGCCCTTAATAACAGCTGTAACTTTGAAGGAAGGCAGGTGAAAATGTGTCTGTTCCATTAAATCCCATGACCCAGGTTGATCAGCCAACAGGCTCCTGGTCTGGCCTCAACAGACATTTTGCAAAGCCACCAGCATTAACATGATTTGGTTTTACGTTTAGTTTGCACTGTCAATGGTTTTCACCTGACTTGAAATAGTGGTTTCTGGCTTCACGAATTTGCATCACTCTGTGGTTATGTTTAGAAACTGTCTCATCTTTGGATGTGCTTCAGCAACCTGCTGCCTAACTTCCAAGCCCCACAGAGTTGGTGCTAAGCCAGTGACTTGGTTCTCCAGCTCGTCTTCTGGGATTTACCTAAAGGCTGTCTGACTTTCTTGATCTCCTCTGAAATTCCAGCTAAACTGGACGTGGTGGAGAGTTTTCTGCATGCCTGCATGCATGGCTTCCTTTTGAATAACACCTGTTTGGCTTTTCAGAGGACTGCTTCGAGGTGACCAGGGATGCAATGTTTCACTTGGGCATTGACCGCTCCACGCAGAACAATATTTTCAAGGTCAGGTACAATGCATGGTCACCACGAGGCTGACAATGATGTTTGGAATGTCTTTTAGTGTGGGATTTCTACAGAAGTAAATCTGTATCAGTGTCCAGAGCATGGGTTGTTTGGTATTAGATGCAGCAATATCACCTGGCAGCCTGCAGCTACACGTGATGTTGCATAACCAAATATTAGTTTTTAAGTAAAAGCCTGCACCTGTGAGCTTTAGATTTCCTTCAGTAGTGCAGCACTAGGAATTACTGTAGAAGCTTGGAATCTACTTTTTTTTGTTGTGTAAAAATGCTTTGACTCGCCTTGTTCATATGCCAAGGGCAAGGCTAAGAGGATGCTGCCTTGGAGGAAGAGCTGTGTTTTAGAAAACTCAGTGCTTGATTATATTGCAGGTGTTGTCAGGTCTTCTCCATCTTGGGAATATTCAATTTTCTAACCCACTAGATGAATCTCAGCCTTGTGAACTAGAAGACAAGACCAAAGGTGAGGCAACAAGCATGCCATACTCTACAGAGTACCTTCTTCTGGGTTTGGGTAAAAAGATCCAAAATCCCACGTTTAAGTTAGTGAGTTCACAGAAGTGCCATTTTGTGATATCACCTCTAGACCTTCCATAACTTTAAAGGGGCTGCATTCATTTGACACTCCAGATAATCTTCCAACATTTTTTTTGCCTGAATAAGATTTTTGTGAAGATCACTGGGGACTTGCTGAAGATACCGGTTGAGGAGCTACTGAATCACTACGAATTCGAACAATAACTGCTGGAAAACAACAGCAAGTCTTCAAGAAGCCATGCTCTAGAGCAGAATGTGAGACTAGGAGAGACTGCCTCGCCAAAGTGATCTACGCTAAGTAAGGCCACGCTGCTGTGCCAATCCTTTTAATTTTTGTGAGGGAACAGGGAGGCCAAGGAACTTACTTTCTCTGGTTTTTGCTTGGACACAACAGTAGTATAACTCTGCCTTTCCCTCCTGAGACACCCTTGATTCAGTCACAGATACTGACATAGCTGCAGTATCTAATAGATTTTCAGAGAACTGCTATTTAATGTCAGCCAGGCAGCGTGTCATAACTTTCTTGCTGGATCAGTAAGAAAAGCAAGCTCTTTTCCAACTAATCCAGTTGTCATTGTCTGCAGATTGTTTGAATGGCTTGTTTCGGTCATAAACGAAAGCATTTTTGCAGATACATCAGCGTGGACCAGCTTCATAGGTACGGTTATTCATCCCTGGTTTAACTGAGTTTAACCATAAGTCCTTCAATCTACTCCTAGACCAAAATGCACTAGCTTACCATATTCTTCCTAGGTTTGTTGGATGTTTACGGTTTTGAAGCCTTTCCTGAAAACAATTGGAACAGCTTTGTATTAACTATGCCAATGAGAAACTGCAGCAGCACTTCGTAGCACACTATCTGAAAGCACAACAGGTAATATTCCACTAAGAGCAAATGTCAAACAGCATCATAACCATTCACTAAGTACAAAGTTTCTAGACCTGGACTTAGTGCCAGCACAGAGAACCCAACAGAATCTTGTAATCTGAACATCACTGGTACATGGTACCTTGTGGAGGTCTTCTGCCATGGGAGAACAGCTCCATAAACCCAGTTGTCATGCCAGTGCCTTTAAGTTCAGAAACATTGCACATCAGCTTTTTTCTTCAATGAGAAAGTACGAGACTTGTCTTTCACAACAGAGAAGGTATCTGTTCCATGCTAAATACATTACAGTCACTTATCTAACTGGGCATGCCCTGCTAATTCAAGTTCTCATCTGAGTGCTCTGAGAGCTACAAAGCCCCTGCCAGACCTGGAGTGCTTCTCTAATAGATGTACTCCTGTCCTGGTTGAATTCCTCCACATTACACATGCATTACCCCAATGATCTTTGCCATTAGCTGGAATCTGGGAAACTGTTTTCTTAATGGCACCAACATGATGGCACCTTCTGCCTCACAGCATAGTTATATCAATTTATTGAGGACAATAGCACCTCTTTGCCCATAATTTGTGCTTTCATATGCTTTTTTTTTTTTTTCCCACCTACCTTCGTTAGTATGCCAGGGGTTAATGGTCAGTGAAGACGGAAACCAAGTTCAAGCACACGGTTACTTTCCTTAAAACTAATTCATGACCTCTGTTTGTAGCACTCCTGCCAATGCCTGCCTGCCCTCTTACCTCTCATGATCTGGCTGTGTCCCAAACCATCTGAATGCCATTAGTGGCTATGCTGAGCAAGCTCTTGGCAGGAGACTTTTAAAATAACTGTCCAGGGCTTCTGCTTGTTAAGCACTCCTGACAGTTTGTTCCATAATTTGGCGTAAATATTGTACAAGCTGCTTCAACTGATGCCTTTTTCCATTTCCTTTTGGATCAGGCTTTATTTAAATGGAGCCAAGTTAGTGAAGTCTGGCACACAATGGCAGGTTTAGGGCTGTGTCCCAGTCTAAGGAATTCTGTGTATTCCTTGCACTTCAAGGGAAAAACCAGTCAGTACAGCCAGGAGAGGCTTAGTGTCTATTTGTCTTAGTGTCTTGGCCTCTGTTTACTTTGTAAAGCAGCTTTTCAGGTCTCACTAATAAATCTAAATTTCCCAAATAATGAAATAAACTGTTCCAATAGGAGCTGCTGCTACATAATCAAAAGCTACTTGGGGTAAAATATCCTCAGATTTTTTTTTTTTCCTTAGATTTCCACTGAACATGAACTGGTCTTTGAATAAGTAGGCTGAGTCTGTGATTAACTTGTTAAACAGTAACTGCATCAACTGAAAAAAACCGTGCAGTTATTTGAGCTCTAGTGCCCTCTGCTGCACAACAGCCAGTTTCTCTCTTACTTCAGGAAGAATATGCAGCTGAAGGCCTACAGTGGTCTTTCATAAACTACCAGGACAACCAGAACTGCCTTGATCTGATCGAGGGCAATCCTCTCAGCATTTTTTCTTTGCTGAATGAGGTAAGTGCACACCTACACTCCTAGTGCTTCTGGCTAGTTTGCCTCCTGTCTCAAGCCACCAAAGAAAACATGAATGCTAAATTAGTATGAAACTTGCCAGCTACAAAAATTCTGCAGAACTTACCTTTGAAACTATGCTCATTATCATGACATTTCTTTGTCCTATACAGAATCTTTTTTTTTTTTTTTCCACTGATCCAGGATGTTTTGATTCAAACGTGAAGCCTCAATTACATCTTTTTTCCCCACAGTATTTCAGGGCTTACATACCAAGAGCAATTCTAAAAGTAAAATGGCTATGATTTTAATTTAAAGTGTTTTAGCTTTTAATTATTAGACAGCTGTTTTTGACTAATACAAAATGCTGCAATTTTGTCTTGTCTGTTATGCAGGAATGCCGTTTGATCCTCTAACCCTGACCTGTTTCAAACTCGGATTGAGAAAGCCTTGTCTGATAATCAATGTTTAAGTCGAGACAAATTTAGCAAGAAGCCTAACTTCATTATTTCACATTATGCTGGCAAAGTCTGCTATCAGCTGGAAGCAATGGTGGAGAAAAACAAGGTAGATGTTTTCAGAATCAGCTGTTTAAAAACAAAACCTTGTAGAGCAAAAGAAATTTTAATTTAAAATATCACTAACATGTATATTCAGCAATGTTTACTGAATTTGCTCACCTCACTCCAAATAAACCATTCGGGCCCTGTAGAATTGGATAATGTCCTTGGTCTGCTTTTCAGTGAATGGTCACTGGCACAAGTAAAATCTTTTTTAACAGACCTTTCAGCTGAGGATTAAGTGGATCATGTATTACCAAATCAGGGCTTCTTCTGTTCCTGAGACAATGCAGAAGTGTTAATGGCATCAGGGCATTTATATAGCCATAAATATAGCACTTAGCCTCATAAAAAAATCAGATAAGTTTATGAGAAACAAGAGCATAGATGTCACCGAAACTCAAATTTTGGCCTTGTTGCGCCATCACAGCACAAAAAAAAATAGTCTGTAGACTACTAAAACTGTAGTCCCGTATCATTTTTTTCATAATCAGAAACTACAGCAAATGATACTATGGTGATGGAAAAAAATAGCAACTCATTTAAAAGGAAGAATTTCTAATATTTGTTTCAGACTGTGCAATTGGGATTAAACTAGTCCTTGGGTTTCTAGCTCACTTAAGTTGTATAAAAAGAAAAATATTAGGAGCAGTCATACATTTGACTAGATTTGCTAGATGTTTTGCCAAACTATTTTCTGTTCTCAGATCTGACTATGAATGAATGCATGTAGTCAGATTTGAAACTACAGCTGTGGTTAAGTCACACTTGGCATCCGAAATACTATTCCATTTATTTATGTGGAATTTTTTGAAATCTTCAAAGCTTTCTGCATAAGGCCAAATGCTAATGAGTCATGTTTGTGTTTGCAGGACCCCATTCCACCAGAACTCATCCATGTTTTGCAGAATTCTAAGGACCCTTTACTCCAAAAATTATTTCCTGCGACAGAAAGGAACCAAAATAATGTCAGAACCCAGAATAGAGCAGCTGTTATTACGGTGGTGTCGAAGTTCAAGGTACATTCTATTCAAGTTTCTACTTTCTACTGCTGTCTTCATAACTAGATGAGAAAACAATATAGTTGGAACCAAGACCAATAAATGTTATTAAATAAGATGGCTGTAAAACTGAAGTAGTGTCAGGTTTCTGATATTCTCCTGGTTTAGAGTTTTAAGTCACTCCAGTCTTAGCTTTTCCTTTAACAGTTGGGCATCTGCCTTTATTAGGCTTTTTCCTACTTGTTCTTCTTGATGGGTTAGCTTCAATTGCTGTCCCTGGTACAGTTTTGGAAACTTTCTGAATTTACTATGGATGCTTTTAAAAATTGTTGATAGAGTGGTATTTTTACTCAAGATGTCCTTAAAGAACTGAGTCTGTAGAGCCATTCTTGCAAAAAACTGTTTTTATAGAAGAGCTGTGATTAACTAAACTACATTACCTATGGAGGAGGAATCCCTAATTATACCTGAATTTGTTTTCTGCAGGGTTCACTTGAAAATCTCATGCAAATTTTGAATAGCACCAAACCACATTACATCCGATGCATCAAACCTAATGCTGACTGCAAGGCACTGACTTTTAAAAAAGAAGAGGTAATTCTTCAAAAGCCTTTTTTTTTTTTTAAACGGTACATTTCAAAAGAGCTTTTTCGCCTTTGCAACTTCCAAGATAAATGTCCTTTCAGAATCATTGATGGTGCCTCTGAAATGGCACCAGTAAGCTCAGCAGCTTGTTCAGATTCAACTTACTTGTTGCTCTGTGAGAAATTCTCTTACCAAAGTGCTCGTAGGTCATTTAAATTCTGCCTTTGCAGTCTGCAAGGTTGATAAGGGTGATCTGGCTGTTGGCTGCCCAGGTCACACAGATATCCTCACAGCGCATACTCACAATAAAAGTTTGCTTGCTTCTTCTGGTGTCTGGTCTGGGAGGGCTGCCAAGTTAGATGAGATCAGCTGACAAGCATGTCTTTGGGAAAAGAACGGCAGATGCTAAAGCTATAACTAGAGGACCTTCTCTGATGGGAAAATAAACAGCTGAGGCAGTGCTGCATTTATTTTAAACACACTGAGAATTTGCTGATCGCACGCTAGTGTTAAAATATCAACATTGGGTTTCCATGTTCTGTTGCATTTGGTCAATGCAGGGTATGTGGATACCAC